AAGTTGTTTGTCTGGTAAGCTATATTCCCTCCTCTAACTGTACACATAATTAGATGTTCATGTTCTTAGGCTGCCTGTTGAATCCGGCAAAGAAAGCAAGTGAAAATGTACCTTGTGGTTCTGTGAGCATGTCAGTGACCTGTTGCCTTCTTGCTTGGATTCTGTTACTCACATAGGCTCTGAAACCCGCTAGCCTCAGGACTCCAGAGTCCAGGCTCTGAGTGGTTGGTGATAACCCGGGGTTCATATTGAGAATTTCTTCTCACCCATATTTGTTGTTCCTTAAAATGTCATATTCAGTACTTTACTGAACACATAATTAAAGGCAGGGGAACTGGTAGAAATTGCAGGTGATAAAAAGACTGGAATGAAACATACTTCTGTTTAGGATTTTGTGGTTTAGCAGGGATCATTAAATAGAAAAGTAGCTCTCTCTGCCACATGCAGGGAAGACCCTTGCCATGTGCGTAAGCTCATACTTCAGTGGGGTCTGTATGAAGGAGCCTCTAGTGAGCTGGGTAAGAACTTCCTGTGGGGGGGCAGCTCAGATTCACAGTGCAGGTCAGTGTGCAACCTGATCTGGTGCTACTGCAGTTGTAGTAAGAGTGTGTGTTTTGACTAAGCCAGGGCATAACGATCCACGTGTATGCCGAGTTCTGGTCTCCTAGTGTGTTTTCAGAATTAAGAGGTAGAGGTGATCACACGTTAAATACATAAAATCACTGTGGAGCTCCGTTGTCTTGGCAGTGGTGATAGTTTTTACATGTGTCAGTGCTTTCCTGAGTTGGTAAGGTAGCCGCACATCAAGTGGAGCTGGTATCCTTGCCTTAAAACATGGTATTTAAAGGTAAATTTTAACTGGCCTCTAAGCAGCTTTTGAAACAAATTAGAAACCAGTTAGAAGTGCCTTGTGTGAAGTGGGTTCTGGTAAATTCTCAGAGGAAAAGAGTGACTGTAGAGGCAGGTCGTTGTAGTTAGTTTACTTAGAAATGCAGAGTTTGAAACCTGTGCCGTCTGTGGCGCGAGGCAGTGAAGGGAGGTCTGAGGCGGGGGAGAAGCCAGCAGCCCTTTTCTCTGAGCGCATGTGAGGACCCGCTGAGCTGTGGCACCTGCAGCAGGCAGCTGAGACAGGGGAGTCCCTGTCCCTAGAGGAGCAACGGGCGTGTTTAACCAGGAAAACTCACTTTCTTTTCCCCCATTCTGAAAAAGTCTGCAGTCAGACATTACACCGCAGAGTGTGTGGGTGTTTCATCTCAGACTTCTTACTGTGTTTTCCCCTCTGCGTTCCGTTCATTTAACAATATCTATATATTTCTCCCCAAATCTACCTTACTAGTTTGCTGCTTGCTTAGTTCTTTTTCTCCCCCCCTCCCCTCCCATCCCCTCTCGTTGTCTCTCCTCCCCCTGCCTCTCCTCTCCTCCCCTCCCCTCTGTTCTCTTCTCTGTTCTCTCCTCTTCTCTCTTCTCTTCTCTCCTCTCTCCTTCTCTCGCCTCACCTTGCCTCACCTCGACTCACCTCCCCCCTCCTCTTTCCTCTCCTCTCTCTCCTTCTTTCTTTCTTTTCTTTCTTTCTAGATTTATTTATTTGCAAGGCAGAGTTACAGAATGGCAGAAGCAGAGAGAGAGAGAGAGAGAGAGAGAGATCTTCCCTTTGCTGCTTCACTCCCCAGATGGTTGTTGTGGCCAGTGCTGGGCTAGGCTTCCTATAGGAAGCTTAGCCAGGTCTCCCACAAGGGTAACAGGGGCCCAAACACCTGGGCCATCTTCTGATGCTCTTCTAGGTTTTTAACTGGAAGTGGAACAGCTGGGACACAAACCAGCGCCCATATGGGATGTCTGCATTGCAGGTGGTGGCCTTACCTGCTACACCATGGCACTAGCCCCAATCAGTCTTTCTGATGATCATAAATATTTTTCTTTTATATTACATCAGAACTCAACTAGGGGTGGTTCTTAAAGGCTGGTTGCAAGAAAGAATTTGAGCTGTAACAGTTTTTCATATTTGGTTACATTAAAATCCATTTGTCTCCCACCTTGAATAGATCTTCTCAAGTATAATTTGTATCATAATCATTGGACATTTGGTAAATATTCTTCAGTAAGTATGTGAATCTTCCAAATATCCAAATATCGACACATCTGAGTCTGCTTTGTGTTGCTGTAACCAAATTCCTATGTTTGGTTTCTTTATGAAGTAAAGAAATTTATTTAGCTGACAGTTTTATAGGCCAAAAGTCCAGGGTGGGTGGCCCCATTCAGTTAACCTCTTGTAAGGACTTCATGGCAGATGGCACTGCAGTGGGTTGTGCAAATGTGGGGCAAAAAAAAACAACAACCAACCAAACAAAAAAAAAACAAACCTACATGGTGAGACGGGAAGCCAGAGACATTTCGGGGTCAGCTTGCTTTAACAATCTGATGTTGAGGCAACCACCCAACTCCTTTGAGACCTAACATGTTCCAAGAGACCACTTTAGCGGCTTTACCAGAATGATCATGACCGGTCACCTCCCGCTAGGCCCCATGGCTTAAAGGTCTTCCCACCTTCAGTGCTTCCATCCTGAGAACAAAGCTTCCAGTACAGGAATCTCTGGGGGACAAACTACATCTGAACCATAGCTGTGCACAACTAAATGTGAAAGAAATACAACTCAGGGGTCGGCGCTGTGCCGTAGCAAGAAAAGCTGCCACCTGCAGTGCCAGCATCCCATATAGGCGCTGGTTCTATTCCTGGCTGCTCCACTTCTGATCCAGCTCTCTGTGGTGGCCCAAGTCGTTGGGCCTCTGCACACCGACATTGGAGACCTGGAAGAAGCTCCTGGCTCCTGGCTTTGGATGGGCCCAGCTCTGGCTGTTATGGCCAGTTGAGGTGTGAACCAGAAGATGGAAGACTTGTCTCTCTCTGCCTCTGCCTCTCTGTAATTCTGCCTTTCAAATAAATAAATACATCTTTTTTTTTTTTTTTAAACAAAGAAATACAATTCAGAACTGCACATTGATAAGACTCCCAGTTGTATGAGGAGTGACTTTTTAAGTGTTAACGAGCAATCACACTCACAGTGACAGATGTTGGCTTCCCCCAAGTTGTAATTTTGACTTGAAAGCTCACCTTTTATCACTGGCAACAAATATTGTTGATTGTTTTCCTTACAATAACAAGCTCACTTTGTTCAAGGAAATGTCTGCTACATATCCAAGCCAGTATAACCATGATTTGTTATTTACTGTTTCCATGGTATAACATGCAAAAGCAACTAGTTCAATTTGCAATTTGAACTATAGCACAAGTGCTTTTCCTTGGGACTTCCAAGGCACTTCAGTAGTGCACAGAAGTGTTTTATGAGTACTTACTATTCTGGAGACAGATTAAGATATTTAATCAAGTTAATAGCTTATCCTCCTGCATCAAGGATATTCTTCAATTTGATTGGTACCATTGATGCCCGTACCTCCATCTGGGTTAAAGAGCAGCAGTTTGATCCACTTCTGCTGTCGCACCATTGGTACAAATGTTCACTCAGGAAATAGGGCAGGTGATGTCTCAGCATTATTGGGAAAGCAGTTTTAATAATGGAATCTTGCTGGGATTTAATTCCCATAGGCCAGTGGTTCACAACAGCCTTGTCTCTTGGCCAGCAGCACCAGCATCGCTGGGCTCCACCCTACCCCTTCAGTGGCCAGGCACTCAGGTAACTTTGAGCCCTTTGGGAAGTAGACTTGGGGGGGAGATCAGGGTTACAGGCCGGACAGGCAGGAGTAAGGAGAGCAGGATGCGTTTACGGCCGATAGATGCTCTCGCACTTTGTTGCTAGCAGACAATGTAAAAACTGAGAAAACAGCTGTGTTTTGCTCTGTGACCTGCCAGCAGTCGGGGGTAGAGGTTTTCTTTTTAATTTTAAAGGCCCTTGCTGTTTTGTGTCCTTGGGGAGTATCTTTCACTCATAGTGAGAAAATCAATTCAGATAACTTACCTAGCCCATTGACTCTTACTCCTTCTCCTCTTCTCCTTCCTTTTCCTCCTCTTCCTTCTCCTCTTTTTCCTCCTCTCCCTCCTTCTCCTCTTTTTCCTCTTCCTCCTTGTTAAATTTTAAACATTTATTTCTGAGACAGAAAACTTGGTGTCTGTTGGTTCAATCCCCAAATGTTATGGTGGTGGTGGTGTGTGTGAAGCTGGGAAGCTAGGGATTCAGTCCAGGTCCTTTTTTTTTTTGACAGGCAGAGTTAGAGACAGAGAGAAAAGTCTTCCTTCCGTTGGTTCACCCCTGAAATGGCTGCTACGGCCGGCACACTGCACCCATCTGAAGCCAGAAGCCAGGTGCTTCCTCCTGGTCTCCCATGTGGGTACAGGGCCCAAGGATTTGGGCCATCCTCCACTGCCCTCCCGGGCCACAGTGGAGAGCTGGACTGGAAGATGAACAACTGGGACAAGAACCTGGGGTGCTGGCACTGCAAGTGGAGGATTAGCCTAGTGAGCTGCGGCACCGGGCAATCTAGGTCTTCTACGTGAGTGGCCTCAACTGCTTGAGCCATGACGGCTGCCTCCTGGAGTGTGCATTAGCAGAAAGCTAGATCTGAGCAGAGCTGAGGCCCAAACCCAGGTCCTTTACCATGGGCCCTGGGAGTCTTAACCACTAGGCCAAATGCCCTCCCCTAGTCTCCTTTGGAGAGGACCTATATAAACAAGCACCTTGGAAGGGTGAAAGTCATGCATTCAGGACTGCGTGGTAGGCAAGAATAGAATGATTTTACTCAGATACGCCTAGCCACTGATGTATTTAATATAGTGTGCACAGCAGTCAGTCCCCTTAAGTTATAGGTTTTCTGGAAGTTGGTGGGGTGTATCTTTTTGCTACTTGAATTTTACCTGTCATTAGCTGTGTGCAATAGATGTAAGTGTAAAGGTAGGTCTCCAATTCCAGTTACACCAACTGTTCTGCTGGAACCTGTGTTCTTCAGTATTTTAAAGTTCGCTTATTTTTATATTCTTTTTTGTTTTACAGATTTGTAAAGCTCCAGGGCCTTCAAGCCGATTAATCTGATGGTTCCTGAAGTTGTTGGAAAGCAGTCGCCCCGTGTGCCAGCTGAAGAGTGTGTGTCTGTGTACGCTTAAGACCTTCTATTCAAACGCATTTACTCGAGAAGACAGTCTCATTCCTGTGCACACTTGGGAGTTTTACAACTTAGAAAAATTAATTTAAGAATCAGATGGAGCAACTTGACACCACTGGGCTCAGGAGCCCTGGGAGAAAAATACATCACTAATGGCCAGTTTTCCTTATGGTCTTCACGGGTAAAGAAAGTTTGCGAAGAGAAGAAAGAAAGAGAAAAAAAAAAACCTGGTACAGATTAAGCCTCAAAAATACCTCTCCGGTTTAAAGACGTAACTCAGTGAGAAGGTGACTTGGGAGAAGTGTGACTGCAAACATTGCGTGTGGGATCATGCAGTGTTTTCTGCACTTTATTTTTCTGTAGGTTTGGTAATTCAGATGTACCTTTGGGATTCTGGACTGGTTGTGGCTGGAGGAGAGCAAGTTCAGGTGTGATAGATAGGACAAGTCTGAACAGTGAACTGATCGCTTTGCTTTTTTTAGTTAACACTATTTGAGGAATTTTAATTTATTATTTCCCTTTTCCTTTTTTAATTCTGTAGGATAATATCTTAAAAGAGCAATTGAAACCTGTAATTACAAAATAAATATCCAGGCAGATCCAAGCAAAGCTTCCTTCTCCTTAGACTGCAGTGTGGCATTGGCAGCAGTCTCCGAGTGTGAAGGGGAAAGTGCCCATCAGCAGAGCATGGTGACTGGGGAGCTGTGCTGGCACTCTGACGCTGGCCTGCCTGTGTGACTTAAGGAATTGCCTTCCCCTGTGAGTCCAGAAAGGCTTGCATATAAGAGGAAGATTACTTGATGCACTTAATTCTGAGATAAGTTTTTTTCAGCAAAATGGAAAAGTACATGATCATTAGGAGCAGCCAAGGGGAGTAGTCACTGGGGGAGCACACGAGGAGTCTGGGGAAGAGGCAGGATCTGCAGCATAGCTCTGCCTGTCAGCAGGTGCACACAGGGCTCACACGGTGGACTTGGGGCCACTGACAGCGTTCAAGCCTTCTGCTTCGGCCAGCGAAGGGGCTTTCCCATCCTCCATGGCACCAAGGGGTGCACTGGGCGGCAGAGTTGTCCGAGGGAGCTCTGTGTCCTTGGGGTACAGGGCCGGGAAGTTTGTGGTTTTGAACAGTGAAGAAAGAATGTTTTTTTCTTCCTAAACTTGGACTGCTGTCTGCACAAATTCTGGTCTGTTTTGCACGGTTTGTGTGCCTTTTTTTCCCTTTATGCAATCTTTTTCAGCTTTAGCAGCAGACATTTGTCAAGTTGAGAAAACATGCCAGAGGATGGCTGCGGAAGGAAGGTGATCCTGTGTGGTCTGTCTCTGCGCCCGAACTTTGGGGACGAAAATTCCAGCTGGAGAGATTCTTAAAGCCTTAAGTTACTTGAAATCTATGTATTTGCAACCCTTTGTCTCTGGAATCACATTACACTAAACTGGAATCTCAGGCTGAATGAGAATAACCGAGTGGAGTAAGAAGAAGAAAACGGTTCCTTGGTCACCACTTACTGAAGATGCTCTTTCTCTAAAGGGCCAGCGTGTTCTTCCTCTAAGGACTTGAACCTGAAAATGGACACATGTTTTTTTAAGCATTACCTTTTCTTAGCAGACTGCCATCATCTTTTATAGAGGAAATTTTTCACTATGCATTTGGTGGATCTTTATAAATTCCTGACCTTCTAATTAGATCTCAGTCAGTCTTAATTTAAAGGGGGAAAAAAGCAACGGAAGCCAACCACAGAAATAAAATAAATAAGCCAATGAAAGAAATTGGTTTGAATTTTCCAGCATTAAACATTATTTTTTAAATAAAAGAGTTCGTTGCAGAAAAGTATGTATGCAGCGGTGGAGCACGGGCCTGTGCTGTGCAGTGACTCCAACATCCTGTGCCTGTCCTGGAAGGGGCGTGTCCCCAAGAGCGAGAAGGAGAAGCCGGTGTGCAGGAGGCGCTACTATGAGGAAGGCTGGCTGGCCACAGGCAACGGGCGGGGCGTGGTCGGCGTGACTTTCACCTCCAGCCACTGCCGCAGGGACAGGAGTACGCCACAGAGGATAAACTTCAACCTGCGGGGCCACAATAGCGAGGTGAGCTGTGGGTTTGTTTTGCTTGGTATCTCGTCACTTCCGGCGGTCGTTTGAGCCTGGAACCTCTTTGGCTTCAGTTTCTTAGACGTGGTGCTGTAGCAGTGAGACTCCGAGCTGGGACTTCTGTCTCCTGTGCTGCCACCAGAAAGATGCTATGGCAGCTGCACTCCCTGCTGAAGCGGGTCACGGCTATTTGTCCCATGCCGCTTTTCTCCCCTCCGTGTGAAAGTGGCTGCCACCTCTCTGAAGGGGTCTGGGCAGTGGGAGGAGTGCAGGAGGCGTTTTGAGTAGGTGGTCTTAACCAGCCCCTCGTGCCATGGGAGTCTTCCTGGGCTGTGGCAGTGAGCCCTCCCCTGTGTAAGACTGACCTCGTGAAAAGTAAAAACAGTGCCACCCTCATCCTGCCCAGTAAGCATCCGTGTTTCTTTGGTGATGGTTTAACGCCTGGCCTGTGTTTCTTGTACTTAGACTGTGAAACATCACAGTTTTTCACATCTGTAGAGTATATTACATTGAGGTTATTATGTATTTGTATAAATAGATTTCTCCGGTCTTCTAGAACTTAGTAGCATTATCTAGGAAATTTATTCAACCAACATTTAGTGAGTCAAGTGTTAGGAGCTGTATTTAAAAGAAGAGCATGGTTGATAATTTCTTCCAAAGGTTTATTTGTTACAGCACCTTGATGGTATTCATGCTTCATTGTTCTAGTTGGGTGTTTTCCTTTGAAGAAACCGAGAGTATTTTAGGCATCTTAAAATGTCATTTTGATAGTTATTGAGTAACTGTCATAAAGGAGCAAGAACGTGTTTGAATCTCGTCTTAGTTCACTTGGAAAACTATATCTAAATACCTGGCACCGTGACTTTTAGACATTGTGGGCTTCCTTCTCCCGGCCGTCCTCGACCAGGGCGTCAGCGTGCGAGGGCTCTGCTGGAGTCCTCTTAGGGCAGAGCACCAGTGCCTTCTCCCCAGAAAGAATGGGAGGCTCTGCTGGGGCCACGTTCCTGAGGGCACTAGTGCATCCACGAGGGCTCTGGCCTTGCAGCCTAATCACCCCGAAGACCCCACTCGGTGGTATCAGTGCCACCGCCTTGGGGGCTAGCACTGTAACGCATGGGCTTTGAAGGCCACGTCCATGGAGACTACAGGGTTGTTTAAGCTCCAGCTAGATCAAGATGCAGAGCACTGAAGGTCCCGGCTCCCCCTTCCCAGGGTTGCCATCCTTTGTCCATTCTCGCTGTTACAACAGAGGTTTCGTGCTCACAGGTCTGAAGGCCATGGCATGTTTGGTGTCTGGTGAGAACTGGCTCTCCACAGACAGCACCTTGTCGCATCATCACTTGGCAGACGGAGCAGAAGGCTCCCTCAGACCTCGTTTGTAAGGGAACTGATCCCATGCCCGAGAGCAGAGCCCTCGTGACCTCGTCCTCTCTAAGGGCCCTGCCTTTTAAAACTGCCACAGTGGGGACTAGGATACGCTCAGCAGCTTCTCATTGCTGCCCAAGGTACCGAGACTAGCTACTAGGGAGGAAAGAAAGATTGGTCTAGCTCACCGTTTCGGAGGCCGGAAGTTCGGATGGCTTGAGCGGGCTGTGGTGAAGGCCCGAGGGAGATGGTAGGGCGTGTGCAGGGAGGGATCACATGGTAAGACAGGGACCAGGGTTAAACATAGCGTTCTCAGGAACTACCTTCTGATGATAAGCCCTCAGTGACCTTCGACCCTTCACTAGGCCCCACCTCGAAACACCAACTTGCATTAAATTCCTACCATCTTAGTACTTTTAATTTATAGTTTCGGGATTTAAAATCCTGTTTTAGGTCAGGGACCAAATCATATTTAAAACATAACCGGTTTCAGTATTTGGGATGAAGACAAGCATTCAGACCATTGCACCTCCCCCCGCCGCCCAGAGGTTACTCACATTCTGAACTCTGTCACCACTTTATGGCAGTGGAATCATTCACTGTATATATTCTATGTCTGGCTTCTTTCCCTCAACATAATGTCTCTGAGATTCATCCAGGGTGTGTGTATTATATGTTTTTTTTAAATTGATGCTAATTTTCCACTGCAGGAAAGTGACACAGTTTTTCCGTTCTGCTGTTGATGGGCATTTGGATTGCTTCCATTTTAGGCTATTATGACTGTAAACATTGTACACGTATCTCTTTGGACCTGTGTGCTCAGAAGGTGGAATTCTGGAGTCATAGTGTTGGCATACATTTAGATTTAGTAGAAATGGCTAAACGGGTGTCCAGAGTGGTCGTACCATCAGTGTAGAAAAGTTTTCAGTGTGAAACTAGATGTATTTAGGAATTGTTTTCCAGCATGATTTACTTAGAAACTTCTTTTTTTACTGATTTTTTTACTTAATTTACTAAGAAACTTCTTTTGAATTTGCATTTTTCCTATTAAAAGGAAGTTTTATGCAAATAATTGTTTCACAGTACTTCTGTACTTTTTAAAAAAAATTATTTGCTTGAGAGAGTTACAGGGTGCAGGGGAGAGGGGAACAGAGAGAGAGGGGGCGATATCGTCTATCTTTTGGTTTACTGCTTAGATCTAGGCTGCAACAGCCAGGACTGGGCCAGGCTGAAGCCAGGTCTCCCGCATGGGTGGCAGGGACCCATCCATTTGGGCTGCCATCTGCTTTCCTGGACCATTAGCAGGGAGCTGGATCAGAAGCGGAGCAGCTGAAACGTGAACCCATGTGGGCTGCTGGTGTTGCTGGCCACAGCTTTACCCACAGCTCCAGCCCCACTTGTTTACTTGCTACAGTGGCTTTGTACACACAGCTTTGTGTGTGTATGTGTAAGTAAGTAAGTAATTTTGAAGTGGATACTCTTTTTTTAAATACTTGCTTATTTATTTGAAAAGCAGAGTTAGAAGCAGAGAGAGAGAGAGATCCTCTGGGTCACTCCCCAAATGGCTGCAATGGCAGGAGCTGCGCTGATCTGAAGCCAGGAGCCAGGAGCTTCTTCTGGGTCTCCCAGAAGAAGAGGTAGGTGCAGGGGCCCAAGGACTTGGGTCATCTTTCACTGCTTTCCCAGGCACATCAGCAGGGAGCTGGATTGGAAATGGAGCAGCTGGGACTCAAACAGGCACCCCTATGGGATGCTGGCACTGCAGGCAGAGGCTTTACCTGCCACAGAGCTGGCCCTGAAGTGGATACTCTTAAAATATATTTTTTCTGTGAATATGTAACAAATTACCACAGACTTTGTGGCTTGAAGTAGCCCCCATTGCTGGTCTTGAAGTTCTGGAGGTAGGAGTCCTAGTGTGTTGTTGCGGGGGCTGCTGCTCAGGGTCTCCCACAGGCTGGGAAGAGGTGCCAACTGAGCCTTAGGGCCTCTGAGACTCAGGGCTGACTTCCAGCTTCACTCGGGTGGTTGTGGTCGTAAACTGAGGTCCTCGGGTAGTAGGGACCACTGCCACGTGCATTTGCTGTGGTTTCGCGTCCTTCTTACCTTCTCTGGATAGACCAGAGGAGATTATCCAGTGTGCACCCTGGGGATGTGGCGTTAGAATTCCACCTGCCATAAAAGAAAGGATTATAATTCACAGTGGTCCACTGCTTCACTGTTGAAACTAGTTTGTGTGAGTTTTTCACTGTGCGTTTTTACTCTTAGTTCATTTCTCTTTGTCATACTAGAATATGTTCCGATGGTTGAGTGCCTTCCAAGTAGAGTGAACCACTTTCCAGGTTTTACAGACCTGTCAGCACCGGGAGGTGGTTGTCATCCCCCTGCCCGGTGCCGGGCTCGGTACAGGACCTTCCCGCCTCGTGACCACCTGTGGCTCAGAGCTGGCTCTCGGCTCTTACTTCCCTGTTGCAGGAAGAACGCTCGGGCTTCCGGATGTCGAACAGCTAGCTCGTCTACCTCTGTGCTGTTCGTGTGGAGGGGAGATGGAACTCAGTACAGGGGTCTGTCATTCTCCTTCACCTTGTCTCTGTGTTCTTAAGGATTCTGAAAATGGCAAGTCTTCTCTAAGTAATGTCACGGCGAGCCTGGCCTTGTCGGCATCCAGTGTTTCAGCTGCAGGCGTGTTTGTTTTATTACGGATGCTGCTGAGACCTGCTGGGTGTGCGTGTGTGGTGGTGGGGGTGGGGGGCGGGTGTTAGATAACTGGTGAGTCTGCCTCGTATTACTTTTCTGAAAATTTTTAAATTCTGAATTTCAGAATTTTGCTGTGTGCAATTGTTCTGGATCAAGGATTGTGAACCTGTGTCTTTAAGAGAATCTCGGAGAGAAACCTGAGGTTTCTCCTTTTCTGTTTCATTTCCAGGGAGAATGATATCTAAGTCATCAATGTGACTAAGGTGGCTGCTGACTTACCTAACCTTCATTCCCTCTGTACCACAGTCATCCCCACCCGACTTGCCGTTAGAGGTCTGTTGCAGGAAGTGTTGCAAGATTTTGCGTGTATTTCTGACCATACAACATAACCAAGTTGCAGAGGTCAGATCTCGTAATCTGTTGATTTTACAACTGAATTAGAAAAGCTGAGGGGTGGTGCTGTGGCGTAGTGGTAGGCTAAGCCGCTGCCTGCGGTGCTGGCATCCCATATGGGCGCTAGTTCGTGTCCCGGCTGCTCCTCTTCCAATCCAGCTCTCTGCTATGGCCTGGGAAAGCAGTAGAAGATGGCCAAGTCCTTGGGCCCCTGCACCACATGGGAGACCCAGAAGAAGCTCCTGGCTCCTGGCTTTGGATCAGCTTACTGCCAGCCATTCAGGCCATCTGGGGAGTGAACCAGCAAATGGAAGACCCCTCTTCTCTGTCTCTCTTGTCTGTAACTCTGCCTCTCAAATAAATAAAAAATATTAAAAAAAAAAAAAACCTGAGTGGTAGAGCATTTGTTTCATTCAGTGCTTTTGTAGAAAATCTGTTTTGGATTATGTAGTGTTTAACAAATGTTACTTAACATTTTTAAGTTATCAATTTACTCAAACAGACTGGATCTGAAATTAAATCCTGTTATAAATGTTTGCATCCAG